AAAAAAAAAAAAAAGAAAACTGAGGGTGGGTTTCTTTTAAGTGTCCAGCTCCTGCACTCTGGCGGGGCCATGTGCCTCCATCCCAGCCTCCGGCAGCACTTGAAAGAGCAGGTGGAGCAGCTCTGCCTTCTGAGGTCTTACTGGAACTGCTAGGGGCCTGCAAAGCGGCCAGGCTCACTTTTTCAAAAGAATATTATTTAAAACACAACTTAGCAGGGAAGTGGTCAAAAGAGGACAAAAAGCAAGCACTCCCCAGCCCGCAGCACGGCGGGGAGGGCGGCGTCTGGCACTCCTGTCAGGAATCGGGTTTCTGTGCAGCCRTGAGACCAGGAGGGTGTGCTCCTCCTGTGGCTTCTCTCCAAAAATCCAGCTAGAAAGAAATGGGATTTTTTCCTGTTTACTCACAAGTACATTAGTTAGTAGGAGACTTTAGAAGGCATTTCCATCCCTGATCCTAGTGACGGAAAATACATGTAACAGTGTCGTTCCTGGTAGATTTAAATCATTGGCCAAAATTCTTTAAAGGCCTTTTTTTAGGTATCTGCCAACTTGATATTGAACTTGGTGGGTTTCACCCAGAAATGTTTGCAGATTTCCAGGTTAACTGGAATTTCACATCCAGCCTCAAAAACCAGATCCCTTGACCTCTCCCTATCAGGCTGGGTCTCGTCTTTGCACTGGAAAGCAAACTACTTCTCAATAAAACCATCCTAACAGGGCTGAAGGGAGTCTTTGGAGGGCTGGGCAGCAGCCCCTGCTGGAGAGCTGCTCCAGGTACCGCCCTGTGCCCTGCAGAGCCCGCTGGGAGCTGGGGCACCCCGACCTGCGTTCCCTACTTTGCTTTTCACTGACTAGATACTAAATGAGCCTCCGTGGAAACAGAACCCACCAGCCCTCTCTGAGCCCACTTGGCCGCCACGCAAACCAGACCACTGGACACCTGTAGCTGGGGCTGGGTGGAGCTCTGTCTGYAGCAGGTGGAGCCCGGAGTGGAGCAGCAGGGTCACTTAGCTTACAGCTTCCGGTCATATTCCCAAGGCAATCAGGTCTTCCATTAGGATTCCGGGCCATGGCCTGGGTCAGTCAAAAGCAGCAGCGACCCTCCGGCTCTGCTGAGCAGCTGGAAGCGTTGTCTATTAGACCCTCTTTTGACTTCAGTCCTCCACTTTGCAGGTCAGAAAGTTGTAAATGGGAATTTCTTATGGTTTCCAAACTAATTCTATGTTTGAGAATGGTTAAATCTGCAAAGAAAATGTTGAGGGTTTTTTTTGCCACTTTGAGGCATAACTCATGGTTTTTACAAAATGTATTTTAGCAAAAACATCATGCTGGCACACAGTGGGCATGCTGGCATGCTGATTGTCCGTGGTGTTTCCATAAAGGTCCCAGCTAATTGATGAGCCATCTTCCACCTCCAGCACAAGTCATCTCTAGGCAGGATTTGCAGTTCCCTCAGCTTTGCTGTATGATTTCATGTTTTTCTTTGGAAAGTTGCTTTGCATATTAAAGTTATTTTCTCCTGGTTTCCTCTAATCTGTACCTACCTAGTGATTTTTTCTGTTGTGCTCGGTTCAGGCTATTGCAGATGTTAGAGCAAAGTGATAGCTTAATGATGGAAACTGGGTTTGCCCCAGAGTCCTGCAGTGGCTTTGGGGGATGTGCTGGAGTCCTGCAGAAGGCCCCCAGGTGCTCTGTCTATGTTCGTGCTAGCCATCTGGGAGTCTGTGACCGGAGGTGCCATGTTTACAAAGGTAAATCCCGAGACATGTTTCAGGCCCAGCTCCCCGCCCTCAGAGTGGTTCACACCCCCACAATCGTGCCGTGGAGCTTCCCAACTCCTCGCAAATGTGRGCAAATCCTGGAACAGAAGCTGGGTCTGGCTTTGGTTTGGGCATGCTCCCAGTAAGAGGTTTGGGAGCAGGTGCTCTCCCTGCCTGGCACTCCACAGAACGCACCCTGCTGGGCGTGCTCACAGGGGTGCTTTGATCCTCCCAGAGGCTGCAGAAAGCCTCAGAACCACCTTCCAGGGAATGTGTTTTTATTAGGATGAACAACTTGCCGCAGAGTGTTGGGTAAGGCCCAAGAGACTGAGAGCTACAGAATGGAGACACATTTAGGAATGCAGGGGGTCTAGCCCTCTGCCTTGGAAACACCAGATTGAAAATTTCTTGACCTGGCATCTCCAAGGGCACACTGCAAAGTGGAAGCAGGAGGGAGGTAGATCAGAAGGGGAACAAGACTTCCTTGTGGTCTGAAGCAAATCCTGTTTCTGTTAAATAACCAGGAAGTCCCTTCAAAACAGTAACCATCTGGCCTGCTCTTGAAGGCCGATATTCGGGTCTGGCCTTCCGACTGGTCTGAGCTGAGGCCACRCCCGCATCTAGCAGAAAATGCTGCCTGGCAAGGGAACCTGGTACTGGGAAGAGAGAAATGAAAACTGGGCCACCCAGCGCACGGCTCAGGAATGTCTGTGGGAGTAGCTGTGCAGACAGGCTGTGCTCTTGAGCTTGGTGTTAAAATGACGAACAGCTGGAAAATCTGGAGGACCAGGGAGGTGCCTGTTTGTAGGGGATGATTAAAGAAAGGGCCAAGTTGTCTTTCCTTCACAGCATCACTGACCTCCTCCTGCCTCAGCCTCTGCGTGAGTGATGCGTAATAAGATTTTTCTTTTCTCTTATGTGGACGAAGGGTCTTTCATCTTGGAATGTGACTTAATAAAACAATTAGGTTGCTCAGTTTGAAATAATTTTGGTTATATTTTGAATAAACAACTTTGCTCAAAGGACTTTAGGTAATTCCAGAAACCAATTTAGTCATTTAATGGGCATGCACATAGGTTCAAGGGCAGGCTGGAGGGAGCCGTGGGGATCCACACCAGGACACACCACAGTACCTAGGCTGGTCATCTAAAGACAGGGCAARGGTCTCCTCAAAGGGAATGTGGCCTACCACTTGCCTCCCAGGACACAGTGATGCAGGCCAGAGAAGGCCGTGTACCAGTAACTCCTGGCCCTGATGATTACTGCTGGTTCCTCCAGAGCGTGCCAAGAGGCACTGCGTGGTCTGAGCAGGAGTCTCAGGGAGGGAGTGTGCGTGTGTGTGKTCCTCAAGCTCGACTTCACGTTGGGTTCAGCTGTTCAAACCTAATGGCTGATTATGACAATACTTTGAAAGTAGTGACAGTGGTTGTGCCACTCTGAATGAACTAAAAGCCACATCGAATACTTAAAAAAAAAAAAGTGTGGATTTTATTGTGAATTACACCCAGTTTAGGTGATGATTGGGCGGGCCTCGCCCGAGATTCTGGTTCTGTAAGCCTGGGCTGGGGCCCAAGGGTCTCCATTTCCAGCAAGCTCCCAGRTGCTTCGGGCAGGCCCAGGGCCACACCTGGAAACCCTGTGGTGGGCAGGGCAGGGCAGGCCAGGCGGCTGAGCACCTCCTGCAGGGCTGGGAGCTGAGCATAACCSGCTCTTCAGCCAGCATCTTTGGTGCCACTCAGTCGCTCCCTCCAGACGTCAGGAGTTCAGGAAAAACACCCTGATATATTTTTCAAACAAGGAAACACCTTCCAAATCAAATAAATACTTAATTACTTAGGAGACTTCAAGAGTACAAACACAATTCCAGAGTACTGCTGATTACGGAATTTAATCTTGTAGTTTTCTAAATCACCCCGTATTTTAAGTGACATAAATTYGCAATGTTTTCCTTGATCCTTTTTGTTTCTGCAGTGCTGGGGACTGAGCCCAGGGCCTTCAGCGTGATAGGCAGGCGCCCTGCCACTGGGCAACGCCCCGGCCCAGGTTTCCTTTTCATTGAGGAGGACCAGGAGAAGCCGTGACCACGGCATCATACCCGTGTGCCAGCCAGTCAAGGGCCTACTCCTACTGTTTTTAAAGCAATCTGATATAGCCCAAGGCCTGAGCGACTTTGGGTGGCCTCGTCCCACCCACAGGAGTCTGATACATACACAGGTCTCTAGATTAAGCACACGTCCCTGGTCATGCTGTCTGGGAGGCTCCTGCAGCTCCTCGTTCTCTCCCTTCCATTCTACCTGAGTAGTATCCAGGCCAAGTGTACCAGAGAGCAACATACAGTGTCAAACGCAGTGGCTTTTGTTTACTTCCCATTTATTCACATTTCATGGATTAACACTCCCTCAACGGGATCATTCAAAACTAATACAAACTGAGATTATGTTTAACAATTCAAGTATTTTAGTCTTAGAAAACAATTTCCTATTTAAAGTAAAAACAACAGTTTATCCATTTGATTGCTAAGAAGTTCTACATCTCCCTTAGAGTGGTGTCCGCATCAAATGGAGAGTCCTTAGTCCTCACCATGGAGGCCTCTGGCTAGGAACWCACAGAGCCTGTGCTCAGTGCACGGTTGGAAGAACCAAAGGCCAGTCGACAGGCTGCTGCCCTCTACAGGCTACAGGACAAGCCGTGTTTCCAGGATGAGAAGGTGCRAGGACGCCAGAGTCCGAAGAGCCCTCTAACCCATCACACCTGCACTGCGACTCCACAGAGACACCAAGGACAGCAGACCTCGACCCGACAGCACACTGAAAGGCTCTCTGTGAACACCTGTTCTGAATTCTAGTGCTAAGGTGGAATATTTTCTCTCCAAGAACAGGCATTATTATTACTTTTTTTGGCATGCAGCATAGAATATGATTTAGAATTGAAACTGTAAAACATAATTCTCTTCAAGAAAATCAGTCCACAGTCAGACTTGGCCTCCCATGTAAAACACTAAAGTTCTTTTAAAACCAAYGTTTCCAGTGTGATTCTACTAAGGCGGGCGGCATAACACTCAGCCTTCTGCCTCCTGGGAATGGCAAGGACCCATCAGTTTTKGGGGAAAAAAAGGCCACGGGATACTTAGCACAAAGTAAAAAGCAAACAGTTTATCCATTTGATTGTTAAGAAGTTTTGCATCTCCCTTAGAGTGCTGTCCGCATCAAGTGGAGAGTCCTTAGTCCTTACATGATGGCCACTCAGCGCAGGATGGGGAGAGAAGACGCTGACAGGCTGCGCCCTCTATAGGTTTTGCTGCAGAACAAGCCAGGTTTCCCTAGAGCTCCCACTTCCAGAATGAGATCAAGATGAAATCTGACTTAGAATTAAAAATGCCGTGTGACCAGTGCGTGCACACACGAGCCCCGCTTCAGGTCTCATACACGAGATACAAGTTATGGATTTTCAAACCAAAGATGGAAATTTTCAGTCCATATTGAACATTCCAAAGTCTAACTTCTAACATTTTGTTAGAATATATCAGACTAAAATAACCCACAGGCTAGAATTAGTTATTAACACACAGTAGAGAAAAACTGGGTAAGCCCTCCAGGGGCCCCTAACCCCAAGCAATATATAAGGTGTTGGATTTTATCATAAAATACACTCATACTCAGGTTCATTTATATGAATACACTAAGTGGGTCCAACAAGATCCTAAAGCATAAAAATTTTCAAGAAAATATCACATTTTGAGTCGAAGCATCATTTTCCCCTATAATTCTCACTTTAATAGTGATAGTCTTAGCAGCAAAAATTTGCTGGGAATGTTAGGACAAAGAAAGCCACACACATCCACTAATTTAAAAACAAACCTGGTGTCAGGGAAGGAGGTTAGAAGGTGACACAAGCTTTCATGCTGCTTTTGTAAACACCTATGACACATGCAGACGTAGGCCACATACTCCCCCCCACGCCCCAGGACACTGCTATGCTCCTCTGCGGCCTGAGAGTGAGTATGTGGGATGGTGCCAAGGCAGCAGGTGAGGCTGAGCAGTCACATCCTGAAATTTGTCCCCCTATTACCTTTCATTTTTCAGAAAGTTAATATGAATAGGGCAGGGCCAGTGTCATTTTAACAGTATCAACCACTTGCTTACCATAAATCATCTTTAATGAAAACTCTTGAGCATTCTCAATTCGAAGGTAAATGCAAACCTACCTGCCGCCTCCTCCCCAGGCCTCACAACAGAGTAAAAGTTGAGCCACATCCCTAACAGCACAACCAGCACACCTCTCTGCACGTATTTACTCAGAGCCACACTCTAGGCCAAATTCTCCCACTGAAATCAGAAACTGCTCAGTCACAGGCATCACAAAATCTCACCATCTCCTCACCTCAAGGGCTCCAGAGCAAGCTACCCGTGCAGAGCGCTCCACGCACCACACCTGAAGACTGCAGTTTCTAAAAGCACCCAGACCACCCACAAGTATTCTGATTCCTGTTTCCTAAGTCAGGCACATTACATACTGAAGATGAGGATTTTCAAGTGGGCAGTGACCCTGAGCCCTGAGACAGCACCAGCTGGCACTAGCACTTTCATTTTTAATTCACAAGGAATCAAAGTGGGAATTTAGACATTAAATCTTGCATGTAATTCACGTGCCCAGTCTTCAAAGCAAGCTAGTGCTACCTGACAGCTCTGGAGAAGTGACTTGATATTCCTGGGCACAACCATGGCTCCAAATGGACACACGGAGTATTTTATTCTTAAAAAAAAAGTTACTTCAGATAATAGGTGTATAAATATACCGCTGTCTAAAGTTAAAGGCAAACTTCATACACAGTTTCCTTCTCCACTACCTTAAGTTCATGTTTCCTAGTGAATTCAAACTCCTCCTACGTAAATTTTTTAGATCTATGGGGTTCATTTAAGGTACAAGTGACTATGAACACATTTTTCTTTTCTAGTGCAGTCTGACTTCACTTCTCTTCTCAAGGGTTTGATGTCCATGGTCATTTCTAGAAATGATAAGCTACCAAATTTGTGCTTTTAAACCCCATTCCTGGCAATAATCCCCTTCTATCTTAATTGTCTCTGGGGAATAAACAAATAATAGCACCTCATGAATAAAAACTACAAAACTAGATATGYAAAACCCAAGAACTCCTTCTCGAGCAACCTGCTTCCTTTTAAAATGAAAATGCAGTTCCTGAATTACAGTAAAGCAGCCCACAGGGTTAAAGGCCAATGTCTGCAAATCATAAGTTGACGACGCACACCCACAGTGAACGGTGAGTGCCCACCCTGCAGTTTGAAAACGGAACATACAACAGAGCAGAAGACAACATCGGTCACAGCATGGCGGCTGGTTCATTTGGTAGAGTGCTGGTCTCACACATCCGTTGCGCCCACGCRTAAGAACCACACCAGCAGGTTTCTTCCTGGATGCCGCATCCGCCGTCAGGAAGCCTTGCCAGTGCTGGTAGCGACCCGAAACCCCACGGATCAGAAAAGCCTTTGGGAAAGCTAATCCAAACCCTGACTGCAGTCCATTAAGAAATCACTAACAGTTAGTTTAATAAACAAATGAACATTTAAAAAACTTCCAAAAAATTTCATTCGAATGTATTTTGCACAGTTGTCAGTCTTGGAAGAAGGGAGAATACAGTTCCTTGACATTGAAATAAAACATTGAAAGGTTTTATTGGCCTTAATCTTCCCCACAACAGTTTTAAGTTATCTAGAAGTCCTTAGAAGGTCAAAGAAAAGAAAAACTAAGTTTAAAGGGAGGTGGGGGAGCAGCAACTTGGCAATGCCTCCTCCGACTTCACCTTCAGGCGCCCTTTTTCTCCAGTAAAATCCTGTGCAACTCGTCTGCATCCTCACTAGTTTTCACCCGAATCAACATGGTGGCAGGGACGGTGGCACTCTTCTCATCAAGTGGTGGGTTTGGAATGCAGACAATGAGTACATTGTTTTTCCCTGTTCGGCTACATGGCATATTGGGTGGAATCAAAACATTCAATAGTATGTTGCCTGCATTAAAACAAAGGAAAATATACATCAAAATCACATCAACTAGAGCTCCTCGGAAGCAGTCCACAGCTCGATGAGCACGAAACCCTGAAGCAGCTCAGACTCAATGGATCCCAAACTGGGAGCCATTAAGAATGCGCACTGGCTCCCTCACAGGTACTAGCACTGTCCTGGACAGAGTGCCGGGAGGTCTCTGGTGGCCCTGCCCAATGCTCCCACTCGYACACCCACCTGGCTCAGCTCTGAGAGGACTGGAGGAAGAACGAGCTGGTACGACCCACAAACAAGAACATCATCTCTGTCAGAGACCAGCACAACTTACTGGGCAATGGTGACATTATGGTGTCGTTATTATAAATTACTCAAGCCCTGGGAAGGAAAAAACACTTCCTAGAAGTTTCTCTCTGTGACACGGGCTTGTAGCCACAGGTCTAGCGATCCCGCCATTCATCTCAGGCCCTGCGGCTCCCATCTGCTGAGCACTGCTCTCCTTCCAGCAGTTTCCAGGGAAAAACGGAGGCGGGCGGACAGCGTGGGCAGCAGTGGGCTCTGATGCTTTCATCTACACAAGGCCTCCTCGGGATGGCCCATTTCCTGAACTGCCCAGCTTCTCTCTAGCCTCAGTCACACTTCTAACAAAGCAAAYGAAATGATTTCCTTTCTCGTTAGTTTGAAACATGTCTACATTTCCTTACACACTGTTTCCCTATTATTCAAAACTAAGTCTTTAATGAATAAATACAGCATGACTTGGCCTGAACGATCTCTTCTTCCATTCCAAAAACACATCAATAAACCCCAAAATCTCAAGGAYTAAAATCAGGGAGGAACAAGGCTGAAAAAAAATTCTCACCTAAATTGGTGTCGGCCCGTACTAAGAGCTGTGTCTTCTGACTTGCTGTAGGCTTTAAGTGCAGGGTCCCCACACCCTTCTCTTTAAATTCATTGTCTTTCTTGTAAAATAGTTTACACCTATGGAAAAAGATAACAGGTATAGTCAGGTGTTCAGTGACAAGTCAGTTTTTTCTAAAATCACTATTGTGGAAAAATCTATATTAAATGAAAGCAGAGAATAATTTTATTGATTCAGATCAACTAGGTCTGGATAAAAATCAGAAAAAGAAAATCTACTTAGACATTCTAGAATCCCTCCCCATTTTTTCCAATTGAATAGTGGATCCCCTAAAATTTCTGTATTTTCAAATGCTGGGGACTGAACCTAGGGCCGTGTATATGGCAGGCAGGCACTGTACCACTGAGCCATACCCCTAGACCGCCATAAAAATTTTAATAACTCTTGCTAAAGCCATCTTTTCTCAAGTCAGTCAAAATCATACTTAGACACCCCATGGCTCCTTGATCTGCACCTCTAGCACTGAGCTCAAGAGCTGATCTGGTCTTTTAAGTACCAGAAACAAACAGGACAAACAATCTGTCCTTYATTGCCCCCACCCTATCTTTTCCTTTATCTCTTATTTTTAAAATTTTCTTTCAGGCTCCTTCAATTTTATCTCCCAAGATGCTGAGGTAAATCTTAAATAGGCTCAACAATAGAGTAATGATATTTCATCCTAGCCTCCCATGACATTTGGTTATTAATACAACAAAACCACTGTCCGCTCATTTGATTTATTCTTAGAAAAAAATCTTAAAAAAAAAGTCAGGGTCACTCTTGCAATTAAAACTAAAAATAAGCTGGGTGGCACACACCTATAATCCCAGCAGCTAGGGAGACTGAGGCAGAAGGATCACAAGTTCATAGCCAGCCTCAGCAACACMGGGCACAGTGGTGCATGTCTATAATCCCAGTGGCTCAGGAGGCTGAGGCAGGAAGATCACAAGTACAAAGCAGCCGCAGCAAACACAAGGTGCTAAACAAYTCAGTGAGATCCTGTCTTTAAAAAGAATAGAAAATAGGGCTGGGGGTGTGGCTCAGTGGTCAAGTGCCTCTGAACTCAATCTCCAATACCCAACCCACCCCTGCCAAAAAAAATCCTAAAAATAAGCAAAGGTAATTGTTGGTCCCTCAAAAATTCTTGAAAATAACTCTTAAGAATCTCAGAGGATATGATGATTTGTTAAATGGAAAACTACGGATTCATTATTAATTTTTTCTTATTAAAAACTGTACATTATAAATGAAATGGTATAAATATCTTTTAGGAAATATCTCTGTAAGCAATAATCTCATTTAATCAAGAGGAAGAAAAATTTGAATTTCCCTTCAGCTGAAAGAGGCAGCTCATTTAAAAACAAAGCAATCCTCCCCTCCCCAACCCAAAGTAATAGCCTCGTTACCAGAGGAGGCCAAAGTTCTCACAACCCTTAACAGAAGGGGTGACGGGTCACTGTGCCCAATTCTTGTCTGTAAGAAAATCCAGAAAGACCAGGTCTCCAGGAAGGGGTCAGGGACGCTTCCAGATAAGGAGCAGAAGCAAAACCAAACCAACTTTCTTCACGATGAAAGGAGAAGGGAAGAGAAGGAAGAAAAGGGGCARGGGAAGAAGTCTGTCTCTAAAGCATGGACAGATGTGCTCAGCAGGAAATCTCCAGACCTGGCCTGTTTAAAATAGCAGGCCAAGGGTTCTCCCCGTTCTAGTTCAGAGATGCCCAGGGTGAGCTCAGGCCTCGATGAGGACAAGCTGACCCACAGCCCCCGGACTCCCAAGCCAGCTCCCCGGGTCATCTCGTACTTGGTGGAGTAGAAGGCGTCTTCTTCCTTCACTTCAGTGACCACCACCTTGGGAGGCTCATCACTCTCCTCTTCGTCTCCACCTTACAAAACATGACAACTCGGTCAAGCTCAACCCAGGACTGGAAAAGCAGCAGGAGCCTGCTACTGACCATCTAAGTCCCAACCCTGGATATCCCATGCAGGCCAATATAAAGACTAAACACACACCATTCTTTATTTTGTTTTTGGAGGGGGGAGGCCACTGCTGAATTTTAATTATTGTGTAAAAAATAATAGTTTTTATTTATATTCAGGTTATCTGCTGGAGAACTAAAATCTCAGAGAATCCTCTAATGCCTTCATCTCYAAACGCTCTTGTGACTGGATCCACAGCATGCCGAGAAATAGCAATGTCAGCAATGMCAATGATAGGAAAAGTAAAGTTTTTTATAGAGGAAGTTCATCAGAGAAATTGCTCCAAAGCCAAGTGTAAGCAAGTGTGGCTTTGTCTGAATGGCCACAGGGCTCACTGCTCTGCTCCTACAGCTCCCTGGCTAACTGGGCCAGAAGGCACTTTCAGTCACGGCAGTACTCAACCTCTAAGACTCTGTTTAAGTGGGAAGGGTTCTCTGGAAGAAAAGGCAGCTGCAAGAAAACTTGCTAAATCAAAAAGCAACTCTGCATTGTGTAAATGTACAAATATGTAACAACAAATCCCACCAATGTGTACAACTATAAAGTACCAATAAAAAAGCTCCGGAGGCTGAGGCAGGAGATCAGAGTTCAAAGCCAGCCTCAGTGAAAAGAGGCACTACTAAGCAACTCAGTGAGACCCTGTCTCTAAATAAACTACAAAACAGGACTGGGAGTGTGGCTCAGTGGCTCAGTGCCCGAATTCAATCCTTGGTTACCCCCCACCCCCCCCCAAAAAAAAAGAAAGAAAAAGAGAGCCAAGAGCAGAGGGAATGGAAGGAAGGCTCTGGCTGCTGCCTGGTCTGTGGCATTGGTGCTACAGACAGAACTGTCACTCAGAACCCACCACTGACCTTCAGGAAGCTGAATTTCAGACTTGTAGGGGAACCACTGTGTTGGTTTAATTGCTGTGCTATGAGAAGTCAATCTCTTTAAATGCAAAGCCATGTGTTTGATACTTCTCAAAACCATTAATGCTAGATATATTTTTTCTTTTCGGTACCAGGGATTTAACCCAGGGTGCTTAATCACTGAGCCATTTCTCGGCCTGTTTATTTTATTTTTGTTATTTTGAGAGGATCTGACAAAGTTGCTCAAGGCCTCAATAAGTTGCTGAGGCTGGTTTTGGACTTGGGATCCTCCTGCTCCAGACTCCAGAGCTGCTGGGATTACAAGCCTGCACCACCATATGCCTGGCTACACATATTCTTTATATGTGTGTATATATTTTTTGGGGGGTGGGGGGTGCTGGGGATGGAATCCAGGGCCTCATGCACGCCAAACAAGCACTATACCACTACCTCCGAGTCCCATTTTATAATCCTTCCAACAACCCTACAAAATAGGTCCTAGGTCATTTTACAAGTAAGGACTAATAAACTTTATCCAGGACAACACAAGCAGGATGCAATGGAGTCACAATGTGAGATCCACCTGGAACGGGGAAAAAAAATATGCTTTTCCYACTAAACACAAAATTTACAAATATAAAACTTACAATGATAATCTTAAAATTTACCTTTGCATTCATTACTGCCACCTTCTGCTTGACCCTCCAATGTTTTAGCAGAAAATGGTGAAGAAACTGGTTTACTCTGGGTAATATCTTTACTAAATAAACTGGAGTTTCCAGGTGAAAATGAAAATCCAGCCGAGGGACCAGAGCTCAGTGAGCCCAAAACAGAGCTATCAATTTTCTTGCCGAAATTAAATGAGACACTTGCTGCTTCTGGTGTTATGTCGGTTTTCTTTTCAGACACAACCTCCATTTTCTTCTCAGATATGTCCTCAGTTTTGTTGCCATGAAACAAAAATGTTGACTCTTGTGATAGTTTTGCTGAACCAAACAGGGAAGGGGTCTGTGTGTCAACTGACATCTGGCTCGTTCCGCTTTCAGAGTTTCCACTGCCACTATTGTCATGCTGTTGCTCAATAGTGGCCAGGTACTTCTCATAGTCCTTAAAGATGGGTGTCAGGTCACACAGGGGGTTTGTGTTCACGTGCTTCACTATCCAGTCCCGAACGGAGCAGTTCAAGGCCGCCAGCTGTTTGTGGTAGGTGCTCCCTGCACAGGCTGTGCTAGAAGCAAGGCTGGAGGACGAGGGCTGCGGACTGCTGCCGTTAGTTTTGGGATCTGAAATCTTTTTATCCACCAAGGCAGTTGGGCCATTTGCAGCAAAAGAACCTATAGGAAATTAAAGTTTGAACAATTTATTTTAAAACTAATTTGATGAAGCCATCTGGATTTTTACACCATTCTTCTGTCTTGTTCTGCTTTAACTATACCCTGTTTTGTTGCAGTACTACAAGCGCGTGTTTAAGAGGGAATATTTAGGATCTGGATATCAAGGCTGGTTATGGCAAAGAGCAGTATTCACTGTATGACTAACATTAAGTCTCTATATTTTTAAAGTAAAAATTTTTCCTTTAAAACAATGTTCATTTCAAACAGAACTGGCAGAAATATTGTTAGTAAAAGATTTTAATTCCCAAAGTTGCTGGCAAAAACATGTACTAAAGTAGTTCAAACTGTAACAGAAAGTACACAGTATAAAAATCAAACAGTATAAACTTTCAGAATAATTAGCTAAATAAAACCCAACCAGTCAGAATCATCACATGTTCCTGTTCTCTGTGTAAATCCCAAGAGTTCTTGACTAACTCCCTTAAAACAGGATCAGGTAATCAACACATTTTGTTCAAACATAGCCTGGGAGGGCTCTGTGACCAGGGACAGTGTCATAGGAATTCCCAGTGACCATCGTGGTAAGAAGCACACAGATCCCTTGGTACACATGTCCATAATGAATTAATGGACAAGCAGGCAAACTTTCATAAAGGGTCTATGAAGCATTTTTCCTTTTCACCTCATTTTTTTTTTTTTTATTTTGCTGCGTTTGGGATGGAATCCAGGGTGCCTCAGCCATGCTAAGCAAGTRCTCGACCACTGAGCTACAACCTCAGCTCTCTTAGGTCAATTCTGAAGGTCAGAGGTTAAGGAACTTTGCCAAGGTCATATAGTTCATAACTGGCAGAACTGAGCTCAGAATCCAGATCTGTTTTGGCTTGAAAACTTGTGCTCTGCCTATCTGCCTACTGTATACATACCCAATATCTCCCCAAAGTTCCATCCCTGACATTATTGTTGTTTCTGCTTACAGACTGAGGACTGAGGGTTTGTACAAGAGAAACTTCTTTACAAAGTTATTTCTCCTAGATTCCATTCATATGAGGTGGCTGAGGAGGAGGGCTACTTACCAAAGGTTGCCTTAGGCTCTGCTGCTGCCCTTGCACCAGTGAAGGGAGGGGCACTAGTGCTGTTTCCATTAGACAGTCCTTCCAGAGGCTTCCCTCCAGGGCCACTACCAAATCCAGAAAACCCTCCACCTCCAGAAGGCACAACCAAGCCTTTAAAACCTTTGAAGGCTCCTCCACTGTCAGACTGCAATATGAGCAGAGAACACATGTTAGGAAAGGGCCTTTCCTATCTGCAAATAAGCAAGGAAGTGACAATATCCTTTTGACTGCAGAGCACCCAGCTTCCACAGGTAATCTGTACTTCACGAAAAACTGGTGGCGCAACCAGCACTGCATGGAAAGACTGCATTTGAAGGCCTGGCGATCCAAAGTGGCACCTTCAGGCAGGCACCATTTACAATCAGTTATATTTTTAAAAATGTCTTGTGCATATGTAGACATAAAAGGTTAATAGAGATCAATGCAGTAAATCCACGTATCTCCCATCCAGCTTCAGAATGGTAACTGAACACACACCCAATACAACTGAATCTGAAGGAAAGATCCTTCATGTACCTTCCAAAGGCAACTTACCTAAGGAAGTTTTAGAAACATCCCATTAGGTTAACTAAAGGTATTTTACCATTGATCTCATTTCCTAGGAACTTTTGTTGTTTTCCAGTTGTTCTCAGCCTAGAGAGCTTCAGAAAATGGTCATATTTCAAATAGAGATTTTCCAGTAATTGAGCAATCCAGGGCATTTTTCTTGCTGCTTTCTTAAGTTTGACGTCTTTGACAAGACCTTTCTAGCAGCCTCTCCCCTTGTGCTAGCTTGCTCATATCTCCAACCATAGAGGATCTGGAAATGTTTGGCATTCATTAGGAAATTCTAAAGCTGCTTTCTGTCCCTGGGGGACTTCTGGAGAACAGTTTCTCAGTTTACAGTGTTTTGCTAAACTGGCCATAATTTTTTTTTATAAATCTTTCATCCATTTAAAATAGTGGTGACACCATAGGGAACAACAATCTGCTTCTCCCCCAAAGAGTACAAACATAAATGTATCAACCACCATCTCATCAAAAAATCACCTCAACCAGACCTCTTCACTGTCTAGGGGCCAGTGAGCCTGAATACTACTGCATATATTTCTAAAAACACAAGTTTCAATCAACTCTACAAAATTCCAGATGTTTACTGACCACTGAAACACACTAGATTTAAAGTTACAAGATGTTTACAGCTATTTTAGAAATTACTGTAATTTAGCAATAGTAAATTAGCTCTAAAATAACCCCCCAAACTAACAAAAACCACTATTAAAAAAAAAGGAGAGACACATAAGACAGACCTTCAGAAGAGTGAGAAAAAAAACTGAATGGGATGTACTCAATTTGGCTCCTTGGGCCCTGAAACATTATGATATTCCCCAATCTCCCTGATTTTTCTTTAGGATTCATATGGAGGAAAAAATATAGACCCTTAAACTTAATTTAGAAGTTAAATTCCACAAGGCAGAGATATTCTGGATTATTTTATTATCCATGGATCTCTAGTGCTAAGATCTGTTCAATAGGCAAATCCACTATTTGGGAAAAGCCACATTTGTGCTTATAGCAAATGATATGACATTATTTTTCAAACATCCAAGTTTCACGAAAACTAGAGGCTAAAAGTTATAACCCAAATTAAATTTGGATTTCAATTATCCACGTATGTTTCTGTCCTTTCCCAGTTCCAGGGCTCCCCAGGATTCTCCTTCTGCTGACCTGCTGCTGCCCACTCCTCACTATGGGCTCCTTCTGACTGCCTCTTCGTCCACTCTGGTGGTGTCTCCGCCATCTGTGTGGTGAGAACTCCCAGCACCCCATCCACCTCTCACCCGCCCTAATTCCTGTTCTGTATCCAGTGTCTTGGAGAGAACTTCACAGGATTTTCAAATGCCACATTTGCAAACTGAACTGTCTCATCCTTAATTAAGTTATTCCATCTTTCCTTGCATCTTCTCAGTGAGAGAACTACCAACATCACTCAGCTCCATACCACAACTGCCAACCAGTCACCAGTCTTAAGATAATAATGAAATTAGACCAGGAAAAAAAAAAAACACCCCGGAATTAAAATAATAACAACTAAACTCAAGACATATACTTAGTAGAGTTAATGTGCTGAGCTTTAAGTGTTCTTACCAAATTTTAAAAAATAAATAAGGGCTGGGGCTGTAGCTCAGTGGCAGAGTGCTTGCCTAGCATGTGTGAGGCACTGGGTTCGAGCCTTAGCACCACATAAAACAATAAACAAAATAAAGTCATGCTATCCATCTACAACTACAAAAAAAAAAAAAGTGTGATAATACAAGTTAGTCAACTCAACTTAGCCATTCCACAATGAATACTATTTCAAAACATCATGCTGGGGCTGGGGTTGTGGCTCAGTGGCAGAGGGCTTGCCTTGCACATATGAGGCACTGAGTTCAAACCTCAGTACCACATAAAAAATAAACAAAATAAAGATATTTTTTTAAAAATTCATGCTGTACCACATTTGTTAATTGTAAAAGATAAAAATCTTCAAGCTGAAATTATTTTAAAAATAGAAGTCCTACTGGCCGTAGTGGTGCATGCCTGTAATCCCAGCACTTTGGGAGGGCGAAACAGCAGGATTATAAATCTAAATGCACCTGGGTCCAATCCCTGGTACCAAAAACAACAACAAACAAAATACAAGTCCTGACTGCTAGGTGYGTTCTGAAGAAGTCTGCATGCCATCCCTTCCTTCACTAAGACTTGTTCCCTGTCTCCTTTTTGGCAGCACTACCCTAGACAACCTTAGGTTCCCTGAGCTTTTACAGCTCCAGGAAATGAGGTCCTCTAGAGCAGCCATGGAGCAGAGAACGGGTACTTATCATCACTACATTCTACACGTGCACAAGCGACCACACAGAACCACCTGAGAATCAGTTTGCTATATGATTGCATTTGTCCGCCCTGAATTACACGGTGCATATATTCTAGGTAAAGACGTTTTTAAAAACTGTTTTCCCCTTAACACACACCATCATTTATGAAACACTGACTGATTCACTACGTAACTCTAGCTGTAAATTTCTTACTAATTGCCTTCCCAAAGCCTCTGTCTGCCCACCCCCTTCTTCCTTCCTTTATACATTTTCGAACTTAAAACCTATGATGAAAACCTTCAAAAATAATAAACTTTCTTTTTTTGTTTCTGTATTTTGTGGTCTCGCTGTGTTGCCCATGCTGGCCTTAAACTTTTGGGCTCAGGTGATTCTCCTACCTGCCTCTGAGGAGCTGGGATTACAAGTATGTGCCACCATGTCTACCTACTATTTCTATAATAAGGATTCCATTTTACTGTTTCTCAAAGTGAGAACAGAAAGGGAGGGGCTGGGGCTGAGGCTGAGCAGTAGCGCACTTACCTGGCATGTGTGAGGCACTGGGTTTGATTCTTAGCATCACAAATAAATAAATAAATAAATAAATAAAATGAAGGTCTATTAACAATTAAAAAAGAAAAATATAAGAATACAGTTCCTTTGGGACTGAAACTTGAGAATTGCAGAATGTGTGGCTAAGGAGGTTTATTCCAAAGCTGCCATGCAAGATGTCTAAAGCTGTTTCTCCTGCCTGACAATAGATATCCAAGATCACCAAAACCACACTTGTGGGTCTGGAGTGTGTCAAGGGTGAGGACTGTACTGGGGAGGAGTTCTGAAAGGTGGGGTGACTGATGAATACTGACCACATGATTCCAATTCAGGAGTTACAACTCTTCTTTTTCTGCACTGCTAAGGATCCAACCCAGGGCCTCCCTAGGCAAGTGCCCTATCACTGAGTTACACCCCCAGTCCTCATCTTTTATCTTTCTGAGCACAAGAACAAAATATCTTAATATACTAAACTAGAAAGAAAACTGACACATTTCTCGCATAGTGAAGGAACTACTCCCTATAATTTGGTCCCAGGAGTAGGTGAAGACTTGAAGACACCTTTTCCAAGTTCCCTTCTTACCCCACCCACACCACATCTCCAGCCTCTGAACTGCTACACTGGCTTTTACTCTCACGGTATCACTGGGCTTGCATTTGCCCCTACTCATCTTACTTCCTCAAATAAAGAAGCTTCCTTTAAGACATGGATGTGACATTTATTACTTTCTTCTCTCTCCCATGAGCTACACAAAGGAGTAAGCATTTTTTTAAAAAAGCATTTGTTGCTGTGATTGTTCCCAAAGGAAGAAAAGCTCTGTATTCCGAAAGAGTCAGTATTCAGTAGCAAAGCCACTAAGGCACTTACTTCAGACCCAACATTTCTCCGCTTTGCTTTCTTTATGGCTCTATTCTTCAAGACTTCCTCACTGGCCACTGAAAATGTTCCCACCTGCAGGGCATACAAATTAAACACAGAAAGATTAAGGACAAAAGGAGGTAAAATGCTGAACAAAACAGCAAGTGCAGACAAACTTACCTAATATGGCTTTAAAATACTGTTAATACTATGGAGAGGGCTTGTTAACAGAAATGGCTTACATCTACCTAAAGCAGAAGATGGAGTGTTAGGGAAGGAGAAGCGTTGGGGAAAGCAAAGGGGAAGGTGTGGATGGGCAAGAGAGGGCAAGTGGATACCATCAAAGCATGCTATATGCATTTGGGAAATGTCACAGTGAAACCCACTAATATGATTAATAATTAACAGAAAATAGTGTGTGTGTGTGTATATATATATATATATATATTTTTTTTTTTTTTTTCCTTGTGGACTCTACTTCTAGCTAGGCAAACCATCTGTCTTCTACAATATACAAATCCAAACTTCAAATTCCAATTCAAAGAGAGGAGTATACACACAACAGTTTTTTAAAAGATAAGACCATCAAAACTTTGATGCCAATTCTTCAAATATTTTGGATATATACTTGATATTATTAATAAATGCTGCATGCAGTCTGTCTGGGCACAAAATAACGGAGCCGCCATATAGCCTTGTAGGTTCAAACAGCAACTCTTTATTCCCGAACTCTCACCAGCACTCTACACACACTTCCTGGGAATACAGTCCTTCCACAGGGCTCCCTGAGCCAATTCTTCCAGGAGAACTCAATGGGAACTCCAAAGTAGTGGGCGCCCAAAGCAGCAAGATCCACCCTAATCCCGGAGCCGCCCTATTCCCSGAGCAGGGTCACCTTTCAACCATTCCCTCTAGCAAAATGCCAGGCGKCATTCTGACTAAACTGTGGCTCTCAACAAAAGTTTAGAAAAAAATTAAAGGTTTCTTTAAAAAATATAAGCTATCATTTAAAAACAGAAAAGTATCTTAAAGATCATGAATAGCTGATGGGGCAACCCAYTGTGAAACCCAGATGCCTGCATCTACTCTAATAGTTTTTAAAAATAAATTTTATTTATAACACCCCTGCCCCTTTTGTTGCAGTGCTGGTGACTGAAATCAGGGCCTTGTGCATGCTAATCAGGCACTCTATCACTGAGCTATACCCCAAAGCCCACATACACATAATTTTTAAGAAGAGTCTTGGCTGGAGGGTCACAGGTTCAAGGCCAGCCTAGGCAACTAGCAAGACACTGTCTGTCTCTGTCTCTCACACACACCTACACACAAAATAGGGTGAAGGGCTGGGGATGTAGCTCAGTGGTAGAGCATCTCTGGGCTCTACCTCCAGGACAGAGAAAAAGAAAATCCTGCCCAACTTGCCCACCAAAAGGTGCCAGAGGCTCCCAGCACTCTACGCTGACTCTGCCCTTCCATAACATGCTAAAAGTCCTATGTCTGCAAACTGAAGTTTGCTAATGATCTTTGTCTTTACTTCAACTCTTCTTTTATCCTGTAGGGCTAGAGCAAAATACTTCTTGTAAAGGAATCTCATTTATAATTACTGCAGATCATACAAAACTTAAAGGTATTCATTGTTACACCTACACAAGAGATCATTTGGACACACTTGTCCCAATTAAATGTAATTAATGCAATCCTTCCATACTCATGTCATTAGAACCTGTCCAAGTGGGACTTTTTTCATTCCTGAATATTTTAATGCCAAAGAAAATCATTATACGGTAGTCTAGATTTTACTATAGCCCTGAATGTACTTGTGCTTAGACCTGAGGGGGAAAAAAAATCCGTAACAAAGGATTCACTGGTGGCTGGAGTCACAGTTCAGTGGTAGAGCGTTTGCTTAATGTGAGGCACTGGGTTTGATCCTTAGTGAAAGAATTCCCCACGCAAAGACACTTCGCCGGGAGAATTCCAATTTTATTGCAAAAAGCTGTGTGCTTATATAGAACTAAGGGGGAGATGGTAGGCCTTAGATAAATGGCAGGCCACCCGTTTATTGGCAAGTTCTTCCAGATATCAGCTCCAGAGCCCAGGAATTAGTTCTCATTGGGGTTAAGGTTCCCCGCCAGCGAGATTTGAAATTGGCGCCAGCGGGAGAGTTCACACGGGAGGGAACTTTTCGTGCCACTGCAGAAAAGAAGAAGGTAGGAAGAAGAAGTCCTTAGGCGCCATGTTGGGGTTTTTTCTCTGGGGTACGGCTGCCGTTTATACTTTTCCCAACACTTAGCACCACATAAATAAAATAAAATAAAAATAAAGGTATTGTGTCCATCTTTTTTTAAATAGTTGAACACAATACCTTTATTTTTTATTTATTTTTATGTGGTGCCAAGGATTGAACCTAGTGCCTCGCATGTGCTAGGCGAGCACTCTACCACTGAACCACAACCCCAGCCCTGTGTCCACTTCTTAAAAAAAAAAAAAAAAAAAAGGTTTTGCTGGGGTCAGTGGCACAAACTGTAATCTCAACAGCTCAGGAGGCTGAGGCAGGAGGATTAGAGTTCAAAACCAGCCTCAGCAACTTAGTAAATTCCTAAGCAACTCAGTGAGACCCTGTCTCTAAATAAAATACAACAAAGGGCTGGGGATGTGGCTCGRTGGTTAAGCACCCCTGGATTCACTCCCCAGCATCAAAGAAAAAAAGAAAAAGACTCAATTCCAAGTCAGCCAGTCATGGTGTCACCACCTGTAATACTAACTACTGGGGAGGCCGAGACAGGAGGAGCACAAGTGTAAGGCCAGTCTAGGCAACTTAGCAAGACCCTGTTTCAAAATAAAATTCTAAAAAAGGGGCTGGCAATGTAGCTCAATGGTAGAGCACTAACAGCACACATGAGGTCATGGGTTCAATACCAAGTACCAGAAACAAAACAAACCACATCAAAAACATACACAGAAAAACCTTCAGTTAAAGGTCCTGTGAAAACATTAACACACTGTGATTTTGGTTCCCCAAAACCAAATAATTTTTTTTTTTAAAAAGTAAAGTATATCTACTTCTAAAGGCAAAAACAAAAGTAACAGAAAAGATTGATTCAGAAAGGAAGATATTAGTCAAAGAATAAGCTTAGAAACACTCCTGTAAAATTCTTTTACCTTTTTTCTTTTCCTTACTTAGACTATGTTATAAATTTGAAAGGCTAAAAACTTGGCTACAGATGTCCTGAGTGAACTGGCCTAGCAGTATCAACTGCTGGTGAGACACTAGAAATGCAATTACATTTTATTCTTCCTAAGAGAAACATGGTGAGATTTATTCAGGGAAGACGATTTTCATTTTGCTTCTAAAGAAACTACAGACTAGGAATTCTATTACTAATAATGCAACTGCTGGGGGTATCAGCTCTACCATGAGAATAGGAACAAGAAGAATTTGAGTAAGGCAAACAGCCTCAACTTCTGAAAMCTAAAGTGACAGGGACAGCAGCCTGAGATGGTGATGCGTTTCCTACCTGAGTGCCAGCACTGAGCTAGCCTCATGACCAGATCACTTAAGTCACTCTTCAGTCATGACTAAAATGACTTACTCAAAATCATGGGTTTTGAATGCTGCCAAGTATATGAAATTCAGGGGGAAGGTGCTTTTCCAAAGAATATTTTAGGAACAGGCACTAGTGGAAAAGCACACAAGTCACAAGAAACCACAGTACCACCCATTTGGGATGTTCTTAAAATGTCTGACTTAATTCTACCACAATTCTTCAGGAGGAACCCCAAAATGAACTAAATGTAGGTACAATAAGAAATCATTCTGGGGGAAACTTTTTTTTTTTTTTTTTACCTCTTCAGCTTCATCTTCTTGGTCCCAGTTTCTATCTGTCAATTCCTTCTCGGCAATTCTTTTGGCCATTTTTTCGAATCTAAATCACAGAAAACAGAGGAAAAAAAATGTAAACTTTCTAGATCAAGATATGGCTTTCACAAAGAACTACAAAAATTAAGAATTTTAAAAATTCACTCTAGTAAGAAACAAAAACATTAGTGATGCCAGTAGAAACTGATTCAATATGGATGCACCAACATTCTGAGAATGTGTAGTGCTTCAAAAACAGATCATCAGCTTAACTTTTCTAATGTCATAGCCTTAGGGGAAAGGGTAGGAGTTGGGGAACTGACAGCATTACTTCAGCAGTGGATTCAATCACCTATCCACAGAGTGTGCTTGTGTCCATCCCTTTAAATTTGCAATTATTTCCTGTCCTAACATCACATCCATTGCTGTTTAAGAAGTAACAACAAAAGAAAAAACAAAACAAAAAACTAGAACTGAGAGCTTTGTTTGGGGGTAGACTGGTTTCTTTACTAATTCACCTGCCAAGTAGACAAAAAAAAAAAAAAAAAAAAAAAACCCTTCCCATTTAATTCTTAGTACCCTCCAGGGCTGACTAAACTTGCTTGAATTGCTTCCTGAGTTTGTGCTCAATACCACAACCTATGAGATTAAGCTTCCCAAAATATCCAAGTCATTAAGACACAAATTCATAGATCACCTACTGCTATAGAACAAAATTCAGATGTTGATATTCCAAAGTCCTCCAAAATCTAATGACTAAGGGCTTTCAGCTTTTAGTAAATCTTTAATAGTCTTTGAAATCTCTCTTACAAGCATGTTCTTTTTTTGTAATTATGGAATGAATGATTTAAAGTTCAAGATTTTAAAATATAAAGTATGAGATTTAGCATATAGTTTCCAGCATCACCTGAGAGTCTTCTCTTCTTAATGCCTCCCCCAAAACACTTGGTCAATTTCTGCTATTGATTTTTTCACAGAAACAAAAACAAATAGAGGAATAGATAAAATTCCTTACTGAACTATTCAGACTGTCTCTGGATTCTTCCGGCTATTCATTAACTTCGCCACCAGAGGGCGAAAGAGGTGAGAGGTTGGAATGATAATGTTATCAAAGATTTAACTATGGGGCAAAAGGGGTGGAGTTGAAAAAGGAAAAAAAGGTAGTAAGAAAATGTTGCTGGGTGCAAGGGTGGTGGTGTACAATCCCAGTGACTAGGAAAGTTGAGGCAGGAGGATCTCAAGTTCAGGCCAGTCCTGAACTTGCTTTAACTTGCAAAGTCAAAGTTAGCAAGACCCTGTCTTGAATTAGAAAAAAAAGGGGTGGGGGCTGGTAGTAGGTTTCAGTGGTAGTAGGTCCCAGGATTCAATACCCAGTATTGGGGGGCGGGAGGTAAGTTTAATATCTATCTAACTCACACCTATACCTTTAGAGATAACTGGCAGAGTAAAACAAGCTAAATTAATGTAGTAGCTTTCATTTTCGAGCACACTTATCAAGTCAGCATAACCAGAAAGCAGGGAGGTTAGTTTTGCCTACTGAAATTCTCAAATGGCCCAAGMTGTTCAGCTCCTAGAGGTTCTATCTGTTGTTGAATTAGCGATCTTGGGCACTACATATATGAGAAAACCCAAGAGGCTGGCATCTGATTTTGCCATTTTCTAGCTGTGAGATTTTTTTTTTTTTTTTGAGAGAGAGAGAGAGAGAGAATTTTTAATATCTATTTTTTTTTTTAGTTTTTGGCGGATACAGCATCTTTGTTGGTATGTGGTGCTGAGGATGGAACCCGGGCCGCACGCATGCCAGGCGAGCGCGCTACCGCTTGAGCCACATCCCTAGCCCCTAGCTGTGAGATCTTGAGTAATTAATTTTTCTGCCTCAGTTTCTTTATCTGCAGGGCAGGGAAGAGTTCATTAGGAACATTAAATGAGATAAAGAGCCTAGTTACAACAGTGCCTGGAACAAAGAAAGAGCTTTATAAGTATAATTGAAGAAAAAAGTTTTGTTAGAAACAGAGGCTATTTTTTCCCCAAAACTTAAAAGTCGTAGTGTAGAAAAAGACAGTTCCAATAAGCGCCGGACTTTAAAAACCATTTTACCAAGTTCGCATGTTATTCCAAAGCATGTCACGAGATAAGGCTGCCCTTTTTAGACACAGAGAGGGGACTGATACACCTGTGTGCAATGGAGCAAGGCCAGGCGCCCAGGTCCTGGGCTGCGGTTACGGCGCACACAGGCGGGCCCCGGGGGTGCGGCGGCAGACCTCCGCGACGACGCCGCGTGCTGGGAACCCGAACGTCCGGGTGACAGGGGGCGCCTCGGCCCCGGGAGGACGCCTGCAGTGGCGCCTCCGAGAAGAGATCTGACCCGGACGGGAAGGCACCTGCTGGAGGACGAGGGAAGAGGCCGCCCGCGACGCCGCGGAAGACCCGCATCCCCACGCCGCTGCTCGGAGGCCGGGCGACGGCGGGAAGCGCGGGGCACGGCGGGGACGCGCCTGAGGGAGGCCGCCGCCCGCCCGAGCTGCGCCGCCGCGTCCCGCGCCCCGCCGCCGGCCCCGCCGGTCCCCTCCGCCCGGGTCCCGCACCTCCCCGTCCCGGCCCCGCCTGTTCCTTCCGCCCCCGGCCGGCCCCGCACGTCGCCGCCGCCCTCCACCTGGTCCCGCACCTCTCCGGCGGCCGCCGCAGCTCTCGCTGGCTCGTGGGTGGGGCGGCGAGCAGGGACGCGGCGGCGATGGCTGCGCTCGGGGCCCAGGCGGCGGCTGGCCGCTTCCGGTGCGCTGAGAGCCTCGGAGGACTTGGTGGCCAGCAAGCCCGGAGTCTCCAACACCATGACCCCCGGGGGCCGCGTGTCTGTGAGCTCGGCACCGAGACGCGGAGACATCCACTAAGCCAGAGACCCCCAGGGAAACGGCGGGGAGCGCAGTCTAGGCCGCCATTTTGTAACTCGAATCTACCCCTCAAACCCGATTCGAAAAAAAAGGAGAAACGCCCGCGTCCGGGCACTGCGCAAGCGCGTCCGAGTTGGGGCAGAAGCACCTCCTTCCCCAGGCCGCAGGGCGTCGCGCGGCGCATGCGTCCAGCGCGTTGGAAACGGTCCCCGGGAGGAGCGCGCCCGTCGCACGCATGCGCACACGCCTTGGGCGGCTGCGGCGAGGTGGCCGGCCGGAGCTCACGCGCCCGAGTGACGTGTGGGCCGCCTTCGCGTTCAGGTCGGTTCGCGAGGAAGTCGCTGCTGAATCTTCGGCCGGCTGGTGCGGGGCGAGGAGCCCTGGAGGGCATGGTGGGGCCCCCGTCGCGGTGAGCCTCGCGGTGTCCCACCTGCCCCCGCCGCCCCCGCGGGGAGGAGGTGGGGCCTTTGTGACGTCTTGGCGTGGGGGGCTGCGGGGAGAGGAGTCGGGCCTGCSGGCGCGGCGTCCCCCCAGGGCTGCGGAGGTGGGCAAGCTGTCGGGAAGGAGCGCTTTCGAGCTGTGTTTTTATATATATATATGTCTGCTCTTAGTTGTTGATGGACTTTTATCGCTTACTTATATGCGGTGCTGAAGCCAGATTTAAAGTTAGGCAGTCAGTGTCGTTAGGTAAATCGGGTCTAATATCCCGTAAGATCTAAAATGGAGGCCACGGAATAAATCCCGGGAAACGCAGGACAACTCATGGAATGTTAATGAAGTCCTAGGCCCAAAGTCCATCCCAAAGAAATGTTAATAAGTCCTTCCTGCCCAGATTACTTCTTTGGCCCACCTGTGTCCTACCCCTCGGGCCTTCCCACCTACATTCCATCACTGAAACAACTATAAAAAGGGGAGACAACCGCACTTCCACGCATTCCACCTCTTGGGTCCCCTTCTTTCTCCGGGGGAAGTCTTTTCTGCTGTCCTTTAATAAACTTCTAATTTCTACTCTGACCTTGCCTCCGTGTGCTTCTCTGGTGTTATTCTTCAACATTGGGGAAGCAAGGACTCGATGACTAACAGTGCCAGGCAAGCGCTGTACCCCCCGAGCCCCCGCCCAGCACTGGGGTTCTCAACCCTTTTGGCAAGGGTATGGAGAGTCTAAGGACGCTGCCAACAGGCCTGGAGAAAACGGGGCTCTGCGTACCTCCAGGGTGTTCCAGGGACCCCTTGTTTAGCTCTGCTTAAGCCGAGAAGAGGTTGCATTTACAGCCCACCGGCCCTGATCATGGTTCCTTCCCTGTGGATTCAGCTAACACAGATCCAAACTATTCAGGAAAAAAAAAAAAAATGTAAAGGACATGCACAAACGTCCCCCTCGTTATTCTCTTAAATACTAGGACCATTTACATAGCATTAACAGTGCGTTAAGGCATAGGGACCTGGGCACTGGCCAGGCCCTGGTACTTGGATGCTGAGACAGAAGGATGACGGACCTAGCCATTTAGAGCACAGTCTGGGCAACTTAGGGGGAGCTTGCCCAAAAGTAAATGAGATATATGGGAGGATGTGAATAGGTCATATGCAAACAGCATGTCATTTTATGTAAGGGACTTCATCATCTAAGGATTTTGATGTCTGCCAGAGGATCCTGGAACCTATTCCCCCTGGACATGGAGTTTACTATAAAAGGGTTAAAAAAAAAAAAAGTGGTACCTATGTTGGTTATTTAATAAAGCCAGATTTATTCATAGCTAATATATTTACTTCCCCCAAGAAATCCAAAGCATTGATATTGGCAGATGTTTTGTTCTTAGAAGGATAAATGTGGAGAGCAATATCCAGCCAGAGATCTGTATTAGATTGTGAATAGCTAGATTTTGGGCGTTTTTTTTTGTTTTGTTTTGTTTTGTTTTAATATAGGAGGGGTGGTACTGTGAATTGAACCTAAGTTCATTCTACCACTAAACTGCATCTCCAACCCTTTTAGTTTGTTTGTTTTTTTTTAAATTTTATTTGAAATAGAGTCTCACTCAGTTGCCCAGACTGCCCTTGAACTTGTGATCTTCATGCCTCAGCCTCCCGAATAGCAGGGACTTACAGGGTTGTACCACTGTGCCTCATTTATATTTCTACATTTTGACAAATCTTTTATACCAGGCTATATTAGAGTTCTCTAGAGGAACAGAATCAACAGGAAGTATAATTATAAAAAGGGGATATATTAGGTTGGCTCATGTGACCAGAAGCTGGATAGTCCTCCATGGCTGTCCGAAGATGGAGAGCTGGAAGAACCCAGTAGCTGCACCGTGCAAGAGGCTGAAGCCCCAGTATAAGAGGGATCAATGGTACTACCCCAGACTGAGACCAAAGTCTTCTGGAGAATTACTATCAGAGTCTGCTTTGGAAGAGAGAAGAAACGAGAATCTGATATCCTCAGAGGATCACAGCAGCAACTAAGAACTGGCTCAAGAAGAATCCAGCTTGCTTCTGCTGCTTTCTTGTTTTTCCAACTTTTTTAATACTTATTTTTTATTGTAGTTGGACACAATACCTTTATTTTATTTATTTTTTATTTTTATTTTTTATGTGGTTCTGAGGATTGAACCCAGGGCCTTGAACATGCTAGGCAAGTGCTCTGCCACTGAACCACAATCCCTTGTTCTTCCAACTTTTATTTCTTTCCAGCCATCATCCTATTGGATGGTGCTGCGCATGTTTAGGGAGGGTTTCCATTTCAGTTTGCTATCCCACATGCCAATCATTCCTAGACACACCCTCACAGACACACCAGCAATCCTCTTAATCGAATCAACCCGACAATTCGATACCAGCCTTGTGACTTGAATGGATTAACATGAACTGTGTGTATAACTAGTTGAAAACTGTAATCAGAATGTTGACTCTTAGTTTTCCCATTATTATAACAAAATACCTGAGGCTGGGTAACTTTATAGAGGCTTATTTTGCTCACAATTCTGGAGGTTCAAGAGCATGGTGCTGGCATCTGCTTGGTGCTGGTGAAGACATCCTATCCTGGTGGATGGTCTCACAATGGCAGGAGTATGTACAAGAGGAGCCTCCTGTGACTAGGCAGGAAGCCAGAGTGGAGCTAGGCTGTATAACAATCTTCTCTGAGAATTAAGGTGTCTCACATGGGAACTACCTTAATCTCTTCCAAGGTAGCTCCCCTTGACCTAAGGACTTCTCATCAGGCCCCACCTCTAAAGATCCCACCACCTCAGCACCACCGCATTGAGGACCAAGTCTCCAACATGTGAATCCTTCGGGGACACCCGTAGCAGATAGTGTATTTCAAAGAGAAGTGGCATGCTCTTCAATGTTTTTGTTTTGATTGACAGAACTTTCAGTACAATGACAGGTAACTTGCCAGAGCCCCACCTAGTTGCTTAGTGGCTGAGGTTGGGTCGGAGCCCAGATCTCACCTCCAGCCAACATCCCCTTCCACGAGCCCTTTGAATAAATGGAGCACACACCCACTGTTGAGGGCACCACGGCTTGTGCAGAGTCACAATAGGCCCTTCTTCCACTGAGCCCTGTACTTCACAATGACTACTTTAAACCCTATCACAAGCCTGCCTGCCTGCCTGCCACCTATCCCGCCTCTAGCCTCACTCCTTTGTAGAAGAGGCAGGCTTGCCTGTTTGTCCTTGCCCCATTTCATTACCTTCTGTGAATCTTATAAAGATGTCCCATTTTCCTTTTTAAAATTAGCTCTTCTTAGTATATAAGAGACAACTATTTACCACATGAACACACCTTTTACTTCATTGGGAGACACATTATCCCCATTTCTGAGTTCCTTTCTGACTTAACTGCACATCTTCAGATTTTGTTCTTTCAGTGTGAAACTCATTTTTTTCTAAGTGGATTCTAATGCTTTGTTATAAATTGGTGATTTTTAACTTCAATGTACAATCACCARTCTACTTGCTAAATGGCCTCTAGGTTGTTATTGTGTAAGGAACATGGCTTAGGTTGTGGTAGACTGCCACAGTCTGGCCGGGCACAAAATAACCGAGCCACCACACACCTTGTAGATTCAAACAGCAACTCTTTATTCTCGAACTGTCACCAGCACTCTACACGCACGTTCTGGGAAAATACACACTCCACCGGGCTCTGCGTACCACATACCCTCTGAATCCCATGAGAACTCAAGGGGAACTCAAGGAGTGGGTGCCTGAGGCTGCAGGATGTGCCCTATTCCCAGCAGGATCCACCCTAAACCCGGATCCACCCTAATCCCTGAGCAAGGTCATCTTTCAAAACAAAACTCTCAAACATTCATGCAATGTCACTGCAAATGACCTGGGTCCAAGGCAAGCCCATTTCCACAATGGAGAGTCCTCCTTCTAAGCAACATTGGGTAGGCTGACAAGGAAATTGCCATGCGTCATTCCTACTTGGCTATGGCTCTCAGCAGTAGACTTTTACAACATTGACATGTGGTTTAGTTAAAAACAGCTTTTATTCTTGGGCTAGAATCGTTGCTCAGTGGTAGAGCACTTGCCTAGCATGTGTGAGGCCCTGGATTCAATCCTCAGTACCACATATAGATAGATAAATAAATAAAAGATCTACTGACAACTAAAAAATGTTTTAAAAATGGTTTTTATTTTTATTAATACAACATTTATCTTGTAAGATTAAGCAAAATAACACATTTACTTCTTAATCACATTTTAACATGAGGTAATTGTTGCCTTTCTAATGCAAATAAAAAAATTTATGCCTATAATAGCACTGAGTAGACTTGCATGTTACCAGATGGATTATTAAAACGACAGCTTTAGTCTCAGGAAAGAGGAGGAGAGCTCGTGTAGACATCTACCTCCACTGGATTTGGCTATTTCCACTTAGCGAGGCTCTATGTCCCTCATTTTATAAAATAGCCCTTCAAGGGTGTTAGCCAGTTTTTTTCTGAAGCGACCCTTCAAACACCACCTTTCAATTTGCTTAAGCCCTGGGAGCCAAAGGATTTTTATTGTTGTCAGGCTAGTCATTTTCATATTAAGCAAATATCGAGACACATTGGTTTATCCACTTTACCTAATTAAAAAAAGAGTTTGGGGCTGGGGTGTGGCTCAGTGGTAGAGCATT